GGCTTGGTAGATGCATCACTCCCCTCTTTGCCTCCATTGTCACGTAGCCATTTTCTCTCTATGAAGATTATATGTGTCTTCACATAATCTTCTCTCTGTGCTGTCTATGTCCAAATTTCCCCCTTTTTATCAGGACACCAGTAGTATTGGATTGGAACCCATTCTAATAACCTCATCTCAACTTAGATGAATTTGTGAAGACCCTATTTCCAAATAAGGTCACATTCTGAGATTCTGGGGGTTAGAAATTCAGCATATCTTTTTTTGGAGGACACAATTTAACCCATCATGCCCAGTCCTGCATTCTTTGGTTCTTGTACAATGAACTCTTTAGTGTAAATTATGGAAAGTTGTAAGTGCAGGATTGAGACATTTGTACTTCATCCACTAGGCATCAATGAGTCACTGATGGCTTCTGAACAAAGGAGTGACATGCTGTTAGTGTCATTTTAACAACATTAACATGGAAATAGTGTACATGATGGATTGGCTCATGATGGAAGCTGGTTATTAAGACCATGAGAAATCTCCTGAGCCTAGCGCCCAATTGCAATCACTGCCTGCTGCTGAGCTCAGCCTTTTGTTCGGTACAGAGCACACATCTCACACCAGAAAGGCCTATAATCCTAAGGCAGTATGTGGACATCCTTTCCAGCAATCAGAGCTCATCCTAGTTGATCTGCTGCTAAAGGGTACTGCTCTGTCTACCCGCTTGTGAAAGACTTTCTTATCAAATAGTAGGTAAGAATTCAATTTCTTACCTATTTCCTCATGCTCAATCCATGTCTTAGTCTGTTCTGTGCTACTATAACAGAATACCACAAGCTGGATAATCTATAATGAACAGACATTGATGTGGCTCATGGTTGTTGAGGTTTTGAAGTCCAAGAGCATGGTGCTGGCATTTGATGAGAGCCTTCTTGCCCTATCGTAACATGGTTGAAAGTATCCACAAGGGTGAGAGAGAGCATTTGAGGGAGGAAAAGGGGTCAAACTTCCTTTTATAACGAGCTCACTCTTGTGATTCTAAACCCACTCCCATGAAAATAACATTAATCCCTTCATGAAGGAAGAGCCTTCATGACCTAATCAGCTCTTAAAACCACCCCACCTCTCAAAACTATCACATAAGGAATTAAATTTCCAGCACATGAACTTTGAGGGACATATTCTTTTTCTTTTTATTTTTTAGATGGAGTCTTGCTCTTGTCACCCAGGTTGGAGTGCAGTGACGTGATCTCAGCTCACTGCAACCTCTGCCTCCTGGGTTCAAGCAATTCTTGTGCCTCAGCCTCCTAAGTAGCTGGGATTACAGGCACGTGCCACCATGCCCAGTTAGTTTTTGTACTTTTTTAGTAGAGACGGGGTTTCACCATGTTGGCCAGGCTGGTCCTGAACTCCTGATCTCAAGTGATATGCTCACCTTGGCCTCCCAAAGTGCTGGGATTATAGGCGTGAGCCACCGTGCCTGAAGGAGGGACATATTCCAAGCATAGAGCCCACATGCTTATTTCTTCCTGCCTGTCTTAAATCTTTGAGTGTCAATGTTCCCTTCTCTCCCCTAATACACGTTCCCATGTGTATACCCAACCATACTGCAACTTGGGCTGCATCTGATTCCTAATTGGGGCATACTTTCTTCTTGCCTTCATGGTCTTTGAGATTACTTTACATTCTTCTCCTCAGTCGGATTCCTTTGACTTTGATCTTGGCATTTGACTTTGATCTCAAGATTAAAACTCTTAGTTATGAGCAAATTATAGGTTGGGGTTAGCATCTGCTTGCCATGGTTTCTGGCTTATGTATTACCTTAGCCATTTTTTCTTGACAACATAACTCTTGAGTTTTCACTCTGTGAAGGGGTTTTATTTCCTGGCTCCCTGAAAATTAGCAGTCAGGAAAGTCTTAGAGTATTGACAGAGGAGGGGAGGATGAGGTTAAAATACCCAATACCTAATATTTGAGCATCTTAGCCCATTCTATTCCTTTTTCTTAGAGAATCTGCCCTATTTATGGCTTAAGAGCTTTAGCCTTGAAGCCTGATCTCTGATGTCAGCTGCTTGAACAAGGAATGGCCACCCAGCCAAGACTGACTATAAAAGACAGTTTCTTCCTCCAAATTTAGAGTGATACTGAGACTGGATTAATTAACTGGAGTGAAGCTCAAACTTCACTTCATAGACTCAAGGTTTAAGGCTGCCGTTTTGGACTATCTATGATGGGTTATCTGTAAGTGTGTTGAACATATGAGTCCCTCCTCAAAGGATAGAGAATGAGATGTGCATTCATTCACTTGACAAATATTGACTGAGAACCTACTAAATGCCATCGTCTGTTTTGGGCTTTGAAATTATGAGAGGGGAATGGCCTAACCTCCCAGAATGTGCTTAATTGAGGTGAGAGGAAGAAAATAAATAAATAACACAATCTGAAATTATGTTACAGAGTTAAAGGCAATGAAGAAAGGGTAAGAGAATAAGGAGATAGAGACTAGGTAGGAACTGGGGGCAGGGGACCTTGCTACTTTAGACAGAATAGCTGCAGAAGATATCTGTTAGAAGATACTACTTGAATAGAAACTTAAATAAAATGAGAGAGTGAGCCACAGGGCTATCTGGGGAAAAGACATTGCAGGCAGAAGGAGCAGGTGCAGATCGATGGGATGTGAGCATATGTAGCGGGACAAGAAAGCTTATGTGGCTATAAAAGTGAGAGGGAGGGAGAAAGTTATAAGTTCTGAGACATAAGCAGTGGCCAGATCAGAAGGTCACTGTCATCATGGTGATTTTATTTAAAGCATGATGGAAAACCATGGAATAACATGACCAGATTTATATAGATGTGATTTTTGTTTGTTTGTTTGTTTTTCTTGAGACAGAGTCTCACTCTGTCACCCAGGCTGGAGTGCAGTGGGGCAATCTCGGCTCACTGCATCCTCTTCCTCCCAGGTTCAAGCGATTCTTCTGCCTCACCCTCCTGAGTAGCTGAGATTACAGGTGCATGACACCATGCCCAGCTAATTTATATATATATATTTTTAGTAGAGACGGGATTTCACCATGATGGCCAGGCTGGTCTCGAACTCCTTTCCTCAAGTGATCTGCTCGCCTCGGCCTCCCAAAGTGCTGGGATTACAGGCGTGAGCCACTGTGCCTAGCCCAGATTTATATTTTAAATGGATCACTCTTGCTATTATGTGAAGGACAAATGATAAGAGGGGAGTGAAAGAAAGGAGGAGGGAGAGAGAAGAAAGAGTTGACTACTTGTCTACATTATAAGTCCTGTAAGTCTTCACTCAGTCTTCTCTGGTCTGAGAAGTTCTTGTGCATGCTTAGGACATATAATTCCTTACTTGGTTAAATTAAGTGGATTTCTATTTTTTTTTAACAACCAAATTGCTCTCTGATTAGGACACTCCCAAGACCCTGAAGTATGGTGAGATAATACATGAGAAGAGGAGGGGATGACTATAAGACACCATGGTGATATATTCATAGGGCCTAATTATGTACTATTTTCAGTGGGTGCTGAAAACATAATTCGATTTATGGAAAGACTCATTCTACAACAGTAGTCTCAACTGAGGACAATTGTGCCCTCCAGAAAACATTTGGCAATGTCTGGAGACATGTTTTGATCGGGAGGAGGGTACTGCTGGCATCTAGTGGGTAGAGGCCAAAGATGCTGCTAACCATCCTGCAATGCCCAGGACAGACTCTCAAAACAAAAATTTTCATCTCCAATAGTCAATAGTGCTGAGGTTGAGAAACACTTCTCTAGAATATTGTGGAAGCAAACAGAATGCACTCAGACACAAGCATGATTATTTGTCAGCGGGGCTTCTTGGACCTTTGAGATATCTCCTCTAAGTTGAAGGAAGGACAAAGGATAATGAAAACTATACTTACTGGCTGGGTGCAGTGACTCATGCCTGTAATCCTAGCACTTTGAAAGGCCGAGGTGGGTGGATCACTTGAGGTCAGGAGTTTGAGACCAACCTGGTCAACATGATGAAACCCTGTCTCTACTAAAAATACAAAACTTAGCTGGGTGTGGTGGTGTGTGCCTGTCATTTCAGCTACTTAGGAGGCTGAGGCAGGAGAATCGCTTGAACCCAGGAGGAGGAGGTTGCAGTGAGCAGAGGTCATGCCACTGCACTCCAGCCTGGGCAATAGAGCGAGACTTCATGCAAAATATATACCAACTTAGGTGTATGGCTGTTACTGAATATGTCCTTTCCTCTGTGGTCCAGTGGTCTATCTTGAAGCAGTGAAGTACCTTATAAGAGGATCAGTTTTCTAGATACAGGAGGAGGACTCATTCAGATGCTGATAATAAATTTTGCGAATGGCCATCTTGCAAATGCACCATTTCCTAATTCATACCCTTTGCTGTAGTTTTGCAGATAGGCATCAAATATTGCCGAATTACCATCAGTGGTTTTTACATAAGACATGTGCAAATAAAAAGCAATCAGATTGATGCCAAATATTTATCATTAATCTTCATAAATAAGTGGAAGTAAAACTCATTGTAAGACTAACTTAACAATTTTCCCTTTATGTCACATTGAAGCCTTAATGCACTTGCAAATTCAATTCAGTAAATAAATGTTTGTTGAATTGAATTGCAAATCAATCCATTTTGATTCTTGATAAAGAAATGGGAGAGAAAGAGACTGACTGGTGATTTCAGGCTGGCAGTCACCATATAACTACCCTAGAGGAGAAAAAAGGACCAGGATACCACCAATGCAGGAAGAGTGTTCAGCTCTAGTGGTCCTAGAACCTTCGTTGTATCTGCTCACTTGGGAGAAGATTGGTGTTGTCTCACCACCTTTACAAATCTTCTGGGAGGGGCTGGAGGCTGTTACCTGGACATATTTCTGGCAAATTTAACAAATCTCTTTTACACATTGCTATCATCATTCTTTTCCTGTACATCTCTGAATTATAGTTATGTATTTGACAAATATTTATTAAGCATCTACTGCATTGCAGGTACATATCTGGGTACTGGAGATGCAGCAGAAAATAAGACAAGCAAAACTTCCAGATCTCCTGGAGCTTGTAGTCTAACAGGTGAGGCAGACAATAAACCAGATGCTTGGCTAAAATGTGTGTATTTGAGATAATAATATGTTAAAGAACAAAATGAAGGAGGGTGGCGAGTGGGGAATTTCTCTGACTAGGATAAGAAGAGGGTTGTAACTTCAGATAGGTTGGCTAGGGAGGGCTGGGTTGAGACAAGTCTTCCGAGGGAAGATTGTAAAGAAGTGAGGGAACAAGTTCTGAGGTTGCCTGAGAGAGGCAACTTCCAAGTTCTTGGAAGAGCACCTGTTAGTGCTCCAAGAAGGAGCCACGGCTCATGTCTTGGGAACATTGTGTTCCTGGTTGGTGTGCCTGGAGTAAGTGAAGGGGCAATGGGAGGAAGGGGGATCCCAGTGACGCAGGTCTCGTTGGTCATTGTGGGGATGTTGGCTTTTATGGCAAGTGACGTAGAGGCCAGTGGATGATTGTGAGTAGAGGGGTGCCTTGACGTGAGTTGCATTCCAACAGGATTATTTTGGCTGCTGTGAGGATAACATGATGTGGATCAGGCAAGTAAGGAGTCCAGTGTCATAATACATAGGAGCAACATTGGTGGCTTAGATAAGGGAGATAGAAATGGACAGGGTTGTTTCCCGACACAATACTGTTCTTTTGTCTGCTTACTCTTGTTTCTCCATTTCTAGCAATAGTTACGAATTCATAATTCCTGTTGACATTTCCTGCACTTTCATGAGTTTCTTGAGCCCTGTCTGTTTCCCCAGTTTCATTATTATCAAACAGCTCAGCTGTGATAGACTGCTGATCTTCATCTTCATATTGATTAATTTCATTTTCACATGCATCACCCGCGTTTTCCACGTCTTCTGCACAGTTTTCAGATGATGAGTCATTTGCGAACGACAGATTTTCATTATAGGAGTCATCTTTGGAGCAGGATGTGTTGGACTAGACTCAGGTAAAATGTTTGTTCAATTCTGCTTAGTGCTGTCTCTCATGAAATGGGATTTGATGGGTTTCTTTGAGCCCAACCACTGTCGAAATAATTACAAAGCTGTTTTCTCTTATTTATTTGCTGATCAACTGGGAATTGTGTTATTGTTTTACATGGGAAATGTAATTCCAGCAGTCACTGCTTTTAAATGAAATGATAACTGTTCTGCATTGTGATTGTATAACATGCCCATTATGAACTGAGGACCTTGGTCCCTTGAGTCAGGATTCCAGACTGGATGATGGGGAAGGAACCTCACTCCAGCTCACCTCAAATTGGTTAACAGAGGTCTCTCATTTATGGCAGGGAATGCAAATTGAAATACTTCTCAAGATTCATCAGCCAAAGTAACTGGGTGAATCGGGCATATGTAAGAAAACAGGGACTGGAGGGTACTGTCTTGCTGAACTCTACAGGGATAAGCCAAGGTCAGTGCCATTTGGTAGTTATCCTGCCTAAATGTGGTTTCAGTATTAACAGATTTCCTTAAAAGAAGTCAGAAATCTATATTATTATGGGCACTCTGATATTTAATTGTTTTTTTCATGTTTAGAGCAACAAAATAGATCTTTGACCCAGATCCAATTCAAATTGTCTGGTTTGTAACTCCTGATTCACAAAGATACCTTTGCACTTTCTGTATTTATGATGCTTCTTTTATCTGCTTTCAGTGAGAACAACCACATGGGACTCTGTATAGTTCAAGCTTACTATAACTGACAGTAAAGAATCTTACTTAGGAAAAGTAATAAAATACTTTTTCCTTCTTCTATAACAAAATGCCATAGACCAGGTAGCTGATAAACAACAGAAATTTGTTTCTCACAGTTCTAGAGGCTGGAAAGTCCAAGATCAAGCAAGCCATCAACAGACTCTGGATCTGGTTCACACATGGCACCTTCTTGCTTTGTCCTCACACGGCAGAAGGGGCAAATGAGCTCCCTTGGGCCTGTTTTATAGGGATATGAGTCCCATTTGTGGGGGCTCTGCCCTCATGACCAAATCACTTCCTGAAAGACCCTACCTTCTAATACCATCGCCCTGGAGGTTAGCATTTCAACAGATAAATGTTGAGGGTCACAAACATTCAGACCACAGCAGGGTGGTTTTCTAACATAACCATGTTCTGAAACTGGCCCCTGGAGGACTGAGTATTGAATCCTGGCCTGAACTGACCCTTAGGTTCTTGGTTCTGTGCTTCACTTCCCACCAGTGAGTCGATGGTGTTAGTGGAATTGAACTCAAGACTCTGACTCCAAATCCTGTGTCCTTTCCTTCTTTTCTGTTCCTCCTTTTCTTCAAAATCCAGTGCAAGTATCCATTTGAGTCAAGCCTGGAGCACCACCGGTTTATAAGGAAACATCCTCTTTGGATCATCTTTTCATGGCCACCGTAGGATTTAGAAGAAATGCAGGACCTGAACTGAAACCAGTGTTGTCCAATCTCAGCACTGCAGCTAGTCTGCTTGGCAACCAGAGCCCAGGCACTGTAGCCTCTGAGACTTGTACTGCAGTCATTTAGGAAAATCTGTCTTGATCTGTTTGTCTCTGTCTCTGTCCCTCTCTTTCTCCTCACCAACATTGTCTCTATTTTAATTTTTGAACTTTAAAAAATGCTTTAATTATTACTGGTAAGTAAAAAAGTCGTGCTAATGAGATACACATCTAGAAAAAGGTCACCTAGACTTTCCAAAGTGAAAATTGACTTCATGAAGAGCCAGCACCACCAGCTTTAAGCCCTGGACAGTGCTGCTAAGTGTATACCTTAAAGTGGGTAGGCATTAGCTGGGATCATTTGAAATACAGATTTTGATTCATTAGGACTAGGGTGAGCCTGGACTTTTGCTTTTCTTAGGAGCTCCTGGTGATGTTAATGAGGCTGATCTGTGGACCATACTGAGTAGCAAGGCCCTATAAAACTGCTACCTCATCTCTCTCTTCCTCTGTCTCTTCCTCCTCAATTATATGTTTTCCTTCAAACATCAACATTCAGAATAAATGAGAAATCATGTTTTATTCAATATATTTATTTTTCTGTTTTGTTTAAAAGTGACTACATTTTAGCTATACTATGAGTTAAAAAGACTTTCTGTGTGTGTGTAAGGAGGGATAGCTTTTCCAGGAATGAAAGTACCATTGAGACCATACTTTGCATGGTCCCGGATCTAAATGGCCAAAATAAATAATAATTATAATGATATTATTATTATTATTGGATATATTCTTTGTTAAGCACTGTATTAATGTTTAACTTAGTACATCTCTTTGCTTATGATAACCATATGAGTTGGGAACTGTTGCACCGATCTGAAGTTTATACATGACACATAAAAAAGCAGGGCAAGAGACTCTAAGGAACTGGTCCAGGGTCACAGAGCAGGTACATGGTAGAGGCAGGATTCAACTAATACCTGGGATTATTCAAAACTTCAAATCCTGTAGAATTTGGAGGTATGCCACCATGCAGACTGAGTATACCATGTCCTCAATAAAAATGACAGAGGGAAGTGTTTTGTTGGTATCAGCCCTAAGGCTTCTGGTCTTTTTTTTTTGTTGCTGGGTTTTCCAGAGAGCGTCCAGCTTCAACCAGTTTTCTGCAGTACTAGGACAGGTATCTGGGTACCAGAAGTGACCACAACAGGATATAGCAGGTGAAGATTAGCCCAACCAAGAAGTAGACTGAACAGTTGAAAAGAGGTTCTCAAAAGGCATGAGGAATCAAAAGAAAAATGCATGACATCCATTTCCTAAATAGCCCAATTGTTGGGGTTCTCCCATGCTGAGGGATTGAGGAGAAAATATGATCAAACCCTTGCTGAGGATTTGGCCATTGGCATGGGCTTCTGGTTAATCAGGCCATTTCCTAAGTAGAGGCAGGTCAATACCATGGGCAATAAGGGTCCAGGTGATCCTGAGGGCAGGGCATTTAGGGAGGCAGCTGAAAGGCCCTCTACCAACCAGGCGTGAGACAAATGTGATTCTCTGCCATCCACAACCAGCCCAGAGAGCCCATCACCACCAATAGTATAAAAAAAAATGGTGAAGAGGGTGAGCTCTGGAGCCAGACTCAGCTATTAACAGGCCTGGGCCCTTTGACCCTTATGATACTCAAATTCTTCATTTGCAAAGTTGTACAATGGTATCTTCCTGATGGGACCGTTGTGAGAATTAAATGAGGAATTATTTCACTATTGTAAGTGAACTAGAGATAATCCCTGATTTTCTTCACTATAATATTTCTGGGCATAATGTTTCTTAATACAAAGAAGGGACTGAATAAATACGAATAGTTCTTATATGAATGATCAAATAAAGACCCTGCTCATAAAAGCACTTAGTACAGGACCTGGCATAGAGTAGAAACTCAGAACTTTGCTAGTATAAACATGAAACTTCACACAAGAGAAAGACTCATCAAGACCGGGTACTCTCAGGGAAACCCAACAGTTAGGAAATAATTTTATGATTCAAGCTAATGTTTAAATAATGCTTACTGTCTGTGTTAGACACTCTTGTAACCAAGCATTTAATATTCATCAATACACTAAAATCTCTAGACACCCCCATGATGTACAGGGTATTTTTACACACCCACCCCATCTTGCAGATGAGAACACTGAGAAATAGAGAAGATCATTATGTCATTTAAGACCACAGATCTCATAAATGGCAGAACTTGACTTTAAAAACAGAAGGTTTGGCTCCAGGGCCCATATTCTCAATCACTGTCTACCATTGCTATTCATTTATGAGACTTCCAGGGTGTGAGGACTTGCCTCTAACCTTGTACCTCTTTGAGCCTACCCTCATCTCCATTCTAGAGGTAGTAGGGCTCCTTGGAAAGAGAACCATGTTAGCAGGGAATTGTCTGTAGAAATTGGGGAAGACCATGTGGGCTAAACCGGAAATGTACTTTTTCATACAAATGCTTTTTAATAATCAAGCAGAATTATGATTTATTAAAATTAAATTGTGGCTCCTTTTCCATCACAAAAGCTGTATTTCTAGTTATTCAATGGAAAGATCATGCATAAAGAAAGCAAAAAACAGGTAGTATTTGGCAACACTGGTCATAAAAAAGAATAATGGAAACATTATTTTTTAACTAAAATAACAGTGGAAAGAAGTCAGAAGATGGTGTTTTAGGAAGTTTTAAAAATCTTCTTTATAATCTTTGTTTTTTAACTCCATAATAATAAATATTCACAATATTTTAACAAAAAATGTGTTTTTATAAAGACTCCTCCCACCACGGTGATAATAGAGACACCTTGGTTATTGACTCTCAGTGATAGTTTCTAAACGACATATAGAAAAATCTGAATAACCTGGAAGCTTCTTTTCTTTTTTTTCTTTGAGGTATATCCCTTCATCTGGCTCTGGATCCAGTCAACCCTACCTTTCAGAGATATCAATTTATAAATCACCTCTTCCTCATCTCATTCCCCTCTATCAATTTCTTCTCCTCAGCATTTTAACTTGGCCAAAATCTCTGCCATCTTAAAAATACTTCTTTTGGTCTTATGTTTGCCCATATTGCCCTATTTCTCACTCATACTGAATAATATTTTGTAATATTAAAATGTTTATCATTTAAAAATTATCTAACATTTTATAACTAAATTTAACTCACTTATATTTATTAATTGAACATCTATATACCATTGCATTGGTATCTTTCCTTTGCTAGGTACACTTTTTTTACCTTGACTGTTATCAGTGGATTGGATTTACTTATTTTTGTGTTTATATAGTAGTTTCACAGTTTATATCTTATTTCTATTTTTTGACATTTATATGTACACTTTAAATCACATACATGGAAAATTATCCATCCAGTGTATCTTGAGTCAGTCAGTATCCTCTGAGCAAGAAAGAAACGTTAGTATGTTTCACTCCTCTCCAGTCTCACTTCCCTATCTATGATACAGTGACCTTTCGAAATTTCAATTCCAGAATCACATTAAAACTATTCACACTTTAGAAGCATTTGGCTTGGCTATGCTTCTATCCAACTTATCAAAGTGTGAATGAAGAGGTTGTATTAATTCTGCCTTCTTTTAAAGGTCTATTTCTTTTTTTCCCTTTTGTAAGGTTTTTTATACATTTTCACTTATTATTTTTGTTGTATATATTTGAGGAGTACAACATGATGTTTTGACATACATTACATAGTGAAATGATCACTATGGGTAAGTAGATTAACATATCCATCCCCTTTCTTGTTTGTCTCTTTTTTGTGGTAAGAGCACCTAAAATCTACTCTCTTAGAAAATTTTTAGTATACAATATTATTAACTATAGTCCTCATGCTGTACATTAGATATCTAGACTTATTCCCCCTAGCTACTTGTAAGTTTGTACCCTTTGACTTATAAGGTCTCATTTCCTTCTCCTCCTTGCTCCCGTAACCACTGTTCTACTCTCTGTTTCTTTGTATTCAGTTGTTTTTTTTGGGTTTTTTTTTTTTTTTGATTCCACAATTTGACCTTATGTTTTACTGGTTACTTGTTTTCTACCCTTTCTTGTATGTCATTTTCTTCTACCATAGATTCTTTGGTAATTTTCCTGTGGTATATCTTCAAGGAACTCAAAGAGACTCTGTGGATGGTAAGGTTTCTGATTTCTTACATGTTAGAAAATAGTCAAGTGCCTGTTTGATCAGATCCACTGTCTTCTAGTTTACAATGTTATCTAGCCCACAATGATAGCTAAAGACAATCAGAACTTTAGCCTTTAAAGGGAAATGACTTTAGCTTTTCTATTTTCAGGTTTTTATCTTTGGATTTGGTT